TTTCAACTGGGCGTCTGTTCGCGACACCGGGTCAGACAGACCGAGTTTTTTAATTTTTGGCTCGACGTTCGGCCGGTGGGTTGTTGTTTTAGTCTAAAATTATTGTGAGTTACCCGATAGTAGGTAAGTACTTTCGACGTCTGACCACAAATAAGTTACGTCACTTATAAGTATTATATACCTATGTACGTAAATATTATACATTATGTAAAATTCAAAAGTGATAAAAATATAAGTTAATAGTTTATTGTACGTCTTTTAGATGGATACATACCATTGAAAATGTCTAATAGTCTACTGCAGAACTTTTTTGACGTAGAGAGTAGAGTAGGTATATATTTTTTATAATAACAGTTTAATAAAAAAAAAACAAATTTAGCAATCAATGTTTTAGATACTATATCAGAATTTTGTTACTGTTCATAAAATGTGTCTCTAAGATTTTATCTTTATCCAGATAAAGTGAGTTATCTGTCCAGAACAGATAGTTCTCTTCTTTCTATTAGAAAGCTATTGAATTGATTGTGACTTTATAATTATCGACATAATTATAAAGTCAGCAATCAGGTTGACCTCCACGCGGTTCCCCCTGGAAACCATCGTGTTAAATTCTGGTGAATTTGTCACGATGGGCTAACTGACCTGACTTCATGCTCATCATTACTCTGGTATGATGAAGATATTTTTTCCTGGTATGATGAAGATATTTTTCCGGGTGCGATATTCTTAACCTCGATGTATCTATACGATAAACTCAATTATTATGATAAGACAATTAGTGACGTTATACATTGACTCAATCTTGAGATACTCTGTATCGCAAAAAAAGTACGTGGTATCGAATCGATACACTGATATTTTGGATACAATTTATTCATTGCTATTAATGAACACCACCAGATTCGATAAGAGAATTTTCATCACACTCATGCCGTACCTGATGACCTAAAAAAGAAATACAAAACGCAAATATGAGACGAAATCTCTCATCGCACATTTGATATGATATAGCTAATAATCCAAAAAAACTGATACATCTTAGATTATTTTATATAACTATAAAGTAATATTGATATGAATAAGCATCGATATTTTGTACGTATCAAAACATCCCTACTTATTATCACTCGGCATATAATTAATCATTACGATATAGACATTATTATATAGTAGGTCAATCAATAGATCTGTGATAGTAAAGCCGTTAACGTCGAACATGGTATAAGCTGTATTAATATAACTACAGATAACATAATATATAACTATAGACTATTTCATAAATACATATTGATATTAATAACCCAAGACAATTCATACAACGCTATTTGATTTCAAATTACACAGCTTCAACTACAATTTCTAGACAACTTACTTTTTTGTGAATACCTACATAGAAACGTTAGTTTATATATATTACTGAAAATATTATATGCGTTTAAATAACTTAATTCTAAATTAATGTAAAATAGCATATTTGAATTTGAAATCATTCATGCAGTAACTATTCTAAATATTCAATATTTATAGTTGATCGAAGTTAAATTGTTCGGCCGAAAATCCTACTCTATGCGACAAGACCACGGATTTTCATACAATTTTTATCCTTAAGACATTGCCTACGAAGTTTCAGGTGTACCTATAAATCATTAATATTTTCAGCGAATCAATTAAAACGCTCATACGAAGAGGGGCTGGTCGCTACTTAAAATGTAAAACGTAGGTACTTTTATATAGTATTAGGTGGCATACAACCATACGGCCCGTCTGATGGTAAACGGTAGTCTCTGATTGTCTGTACCACTAGGAGTTAACACCCCGTGCGCGTTGTCGACCCTTAAGAAACCCTAATATAGGGCATATTAGTAGGGGTCTTGAAAACCCTCATGCCGCAGTCTCTCGAGAAAATCTCGGCAGGTTATTCATTCTATAATCTAAGTATACCTACGCATAATGATGTAGCTGTGGGCATCATCATTCTACTTTATCATGCTATCCTAAGTACATGTATTTATTATTGTTTTAAGGCTTACCATCGCACTAAAAATTTACTTACCCGCAAAACAATTTTAGCACTATGGATTTGTTATTTATATAACAAATATGCACTTATGTCATTCAACAATATTGTTATTATGAGTCGGCCGTGTAATCGTACACACACTGTTCACCGATAGTAAAACATCATCAAATAATTTCGTCATATTTGTAAACATCAGAGTCATCATTGAGATAAACATTCCCCTTATTCACATTAACAAACGAGAGTGTTAAACATGAGTCGATTGTTTTTAAATTCTCCTGTTGACAGCCAAGAACAATAAAGGCCAAAGTTATTAAGTATAAGGCGATTGTAATATCTGAAGTCATATGGTGTGATGAAATCAGTTAAGGGGCAGAGTTAAAGGTTAGTTATCTTATAAGTGTTTATATTGATTTAAACATACTTTAAGAAGGCGGTGGTTTACAAAAGATTTAATTATATATTTCTTAGTTATTTACGTTATGCATATGTATATCTGTTTTTTAATTGTAACGTAAAACTATTCATTAAAGTGATATTGAGAAATTGATATCTAATAATAATCATCTATATTAACATTGACCGATAGCGGAAGAGGATTGCTAGCTTTACTAGCAATGGGCTCCTTATTTGCCATTAATAATAATTAACCATGTCAGATCGACCTCCACGCGGTTTCCTCAAACCCATCGTTAATTCTTGAGTCCATTTGACATCAAATTAATTTTGCCATTATTCAGTAGTACCCCGTCAGGCGCAGGATAGTGTACTAATTCATTAATACCTACACATTAATAAATACTAAACCACCAATAGCGCAATCACCAAGTTTTTAATTTGTTACTCAACAATACATGGCATTATTACTTAACAAAAACAGCTCTAAAAAACTTCACGCTAACAATAAACTGTCATGTTCATATTATAATTCAATAGTTTTTTTTTCTATATATCTTCGTAGTACAGCCATGCGTAACATTCTCCTATTCTGAAACAATTTTAATGATTTTTTTAATGTATTTTAAAATACAATTTAATTAGATCAATAGAATTAGTATTTAGAGTTTTTTTTATATGTTATACAGCTAAACAGAGCACTTTTATAGTCAAGTGAAGCGATAGGTAACCTAATTCTAACAACGAAGAAATTTCCACTAGCAAGTGTGAGTAGAACTAGTAAGGAGGGTGTCCTAGCTGTGGACGTCAATTCACTTAAGGGGAGTCGATCATGCCTCCGCTTGCTACTAAAAGCTACTAAAAGCCCTCCATAAAAGCAATAATTAAATTGGCGTAACGCAATTTAGTAAAGCGATGCTGTCAAAGGTACTTGGATGTAATAAGTAGATATCTATTCTCCTAAAGGAATGCATATCAGTTTCTACTCACACCTTTTGCTATACGACGTACATAAGTATTTATTAAATTAATCTACTGTATAATTCCGTATATATATATATATGTTCTTAAGTACCTACCTAGACAAAACTTTTAGTGTGTAATTACGTTTACGAATTCATTTTGTTTTTTTTTTAATTTATTAATTAACAATTACTTACAATACTTGGTTACAATAATATTATTGCACAAGTAAAAAATACTTGTACCTAAGCATTAATAATAATATAGGCGTGTGAATTCCAATCTCAAATAAATCCTTAGGTAGGTTGATCCTTAGATGGTCTATATACTCATACTGGTACTTAAAGAATTAATTTGAGAATTTTTCTAGATCTGTTCAAAGCATGTTAATTAGCATATATAATGGCAAGAATCTCGTCACTAAACTTAATTTAGGTATTAAATATTTGTATTTAAGTATTATTAATATTATTCTTGTGCAATAAGAGATTTTAAAATCATAAAATTTTTGTAACCATCTAATGTAAATAGGAATCTATTTTTTAATTAATTCTTTGTTCACGTTCCTGCGCTAATGGTATACGTTGCTAGGACACCAGTAAAGAATAACAGAGTGAACATGAAGTCAGGTCATTGTGGCATATTCATCAGGAATTAACCACGGCTGTTTACGACGGAGAGTTAGTTCTAACATGTATAATATTATTATTATATTGCATTTAACCACTAGTCTTTTTTACTACGTATAGTCTCTCTCTCTCTCGAATTTATTCTGTTCAGTACAAATATAAAATATATGTGTATATATATATATATAGTACCTACCCACCTATTTAAATGTAGTGTGTTATGCTTCTAAAATATATCAGTCACAACATTATAACACAAGTAATAAAGGTTAGTAGTTACTTTACTTACCAATATGACACATTTAAAACAAATTAATTAACAAATTAAATAATGCTTCAAATATTACTGAAGACTAAATGTACCCGAAAAATGGGTAAGTAAATAGCATGTAAAGTCACTGTCACTGTCATTATCCGGTTTACTAGTTTATTTCTGTCACTGTCAAAGTCAACTGTCTGATCTATGGCCGTCACTAACGTCACTGTCTGACCTGATAAAGTCACGTGTGTTTTGTTTTGTTTTTGTTAAAATGATGTACCTACATATTTCTCATACTTTTTTATTTAGCGCAAAAAATAAAATAATCCTATGTTTACATTATGTATGAAGTATTCTATTGATATAAGCAAAGATTACGAAATTCATGTTATACCAAAACCGGTTAACCATGAACCGCCTCATAATAAATAAAATTAGACAGTTAAATAAGTATTTCTATTTTATAATGTTAACTTGTTAAGATGTGCAGTAAAATACTACTAAGCACTATTATATTGCATACATGAACCGCCCGACACGAGTACAAAACATCGCACAAGGTCAACAGACAAAAGAAACTAAGGTAATAATTACATTAAATTGCAGACGTACGTCATTATGTTTTTATCAATTATGTATGAAAGTATTCGTTTCTTAATGTACATTTGCGGTTTATGCTTTAAAAATTGAATATTTATTTTGTAGGCATCTGCCTATCATCATCATCTGATCCACTTTTACACACTTCAGCAGAGATGTCCACTTTAAGTAATATCATTGAAAATGATACAATGGAAAAAATCGCTTTGGAGTTTATTAGATTGGGAGGTGAGTTGTATCAAATTTATATAAAAAAGTTTTAATTTTGTATAATATCTTAGTGTATAAGTATTTATTTGTACAAACAGATGTATGATATGATGAGTATATTTGCTTATTACTAATAACAATGGCTGCTGGCTGACCATGGCAGACAGTCCTCCATAGAAGCTACTTACTGAAGTTAAACTAGTGTATAATAAAACAGCTATACTTTTTAAGGATTATCTTTGAAGGATGAAATTGGATTATTACTGGAAATCTAACTTGTCTTGGCAGTGACTATTATTCTCAAAAACTGAGTATCAATGGTGGCCCTTTCAGTTTTAGTTGCTCAATAGATTGTTAGTTGTAAGTTGTTATACTCATCCAAAGATATTCACTTAACACATTGTACAATTTGATTTTCTACTGTTGCTCAAACAGAGATCGCATTAAATGTAATTGCAATGGTAATGAAATGAATGAAATGCCTTCAGAATAATGAAGAGAGGCTATTTTTGTTTATATTTTTATTTTTCTAATTACAGATAGATGCTACCTGGATAATGCTGGTGCTACATTATATCCCCAGTGTTTACTTAAAAGTATAAATGAAGATCTCCTTAATAATATTTATGTAAACCCACATACAGATAAGTATACACAAGACTGTTTAGAACAAATCAGATATCGCATCTTGACTCATTTCAACACTGACTCTTCAAATTATTCTGTTGTATTCACATCAGGTACTACACAGTCATTGAAACTAGTGGGAGAGTCTTTTAAGTTTGCCATGGATAAAAATGAAGTTCTAAACTGTGGCTCACTTGTTTACTTAAGAGATAATCATACATCTGTACTAGGGCTGAGAGAAATTGCTGCAGAGAAGAATGTGGATATCATACATATATCACATGAAGATTTCTTGGAAACCTTAAATGCAAATGAAGTGTCTCCTTCAACAAATTGTAGAGAAGAATATAAAAATAAAGGGAATACATTACTGGTGTACCCAGCACAGAGTAATTTCAATGGTTATAAATACCCTATAGATTGCTTGAAAATTATAAAAGAAGGATGTATCAATCAATACACAAAGAAACACTTGAGTAAAATTAATTGCAATTGGTATGTCTTATTGGATGCTGCATGTTATGTTTCCACAAATAAATTAGATTTGTCTATAGTACAGCCTGATTTTGTGTGTTTATCTTTTTATAAAGTTTTTGGGTATCCTACTGGATTAGGAGCATTACTTATAAGAAATAGTAGTGCAGATGTTCTAAATCACAAGAAATACTTTGGAGGTGGCACTGTTGATATAGTTTTAAGCAGTGAAGATTTTCATGTCAAAAGAAAAACTCTTCATGAGAGGTGCGTTTCTTTTTTGTTAATTGTAAACGGGCAACCGTTAAAATTCATGTTCATTAGCATAGATATTGACACAAAATACTTGTTGAAAACTCTGTAGTTAATTTTAATGATAAGCTGTCTTTTACAAATTCCATTTGAGTTCAAATAGAGGTTTGTAGCAACTGTATAAACAATTATATAAATGTCGAAAGTTTTAAAATAATTATTGTCTTATAAAATGTAACATACCTATGTATATTTGAGATATAATTTCTTAATTGTTAGCAATTCTACTAGATGTTCCAGATAGTAGAAAAACGAAATGTTTATTAATGTAATGTTTATTTCAGATTTGAAGATGGCACATTACCATTTTTATCAATCGTAGCTCTAAAACATTGTTTTGATGCAATGACCAAATTGATTCCTAAAGTTATCAACAATGATATTATGGAAACTATATCACACCACACATTTAATTTAGCAAAGGATCTTTATTGTCAACTTGGGAAACTTCATCACAAAAATGGAGACAAAGCAGTAGTTCTTTATATGGATTCTGACTTTACTGATATTCGTAAACAAGGTGCAATCGTCACATTCAATTTAATGAGAGAAGATGGCACATTTATTGGTTATTCTGAGGTGATTATATGTTTATTTTCTATGTAACTGAACTGATAGCAAAGAGGTTGATATCACACCTTATTCTTTGATACACACTCATTTGCATGCTATATTATGAAAAATAGCTAATGAGATTTAAAATTATTATTTCAGTTCCAACACTTGGCAGATCTATTCAACATAACTGTACGAACTGGGTGTTTTTGTAACTCAGGCTCCTGTCAGCGTCATTTGAAAGCAAGCAATGAAGAAATGAAGGACATGTACAAAGCAGGTCACAAGTGTGGCGACGACATAGACTTAATTGATGGTAAACCAACTGGTGCCATTCGAGTATCATTTGGCTATTACAATACGTACAATGACGTTGATAAACTAATGACAATGATTTGCCGATGTTTCGTTAGAGCTAATTATAAAAAACCAAAACGATTATCAAATAATATCATAATGTCGAAATCTCCAAATCATATAAAATACATATGTACAGTTGATGATAAACAAATAGCTAATGAGCCGGCGTATATAGACGAAAAATATACCGCTGCACATACAGTTCTCACATCTGGTACTGTGCTGTCTCAAATAGCTCTTTTCCCAGTTAAATCTTGTGGCGCCTTTAAAATCACTACTTCATGGAAAATCGGTCGAAAAGGCTTCGAATACGATAGAGAGTGGATGATTGTCAAGGATAATGGGGTATGTCTAACTCAGAAACAAAATACACGTATGTGCATGATACGACCTAAAATTGATTTAAAACGGAAAGTAATGACTCTATACTTTAAAGGTATGTTACTACTGTTGTGTGTTATATGTTCTAGGCAAGTAGTGTAATTATAAATATATGTAAGAATAGCAATAGTGCTTATCCTTACTTTGCAAATTTGTGCATTTCACATAATTCATCTCTCTCTGACTGCCTGTGACCCTCATAAGGAGTCTGGATGACTGAAGATAGATCCAATATTTCAGTGTTCAAATATCAATATTTCTATAATATGATTTTATATGTATAAACATGCATTGACATTAAATACATATAGTGTAATATTTAATTAATTTGCAGGTCTTGCTCCAATATCAGTACCTTTAGATCCTGTAGGAAACAAGCATAAAGAGGTTACATTTTGTCAAAGCAAAGTTTGTACGGACTTAGTCAAAGGATATGATTGTGGAGATGAAGTTGCTAATTGGATATCAAATGCTTTAGAAGTATCATACCTAAGATTAATAAAACAAGCAAGCATTGATAATAGAATACAAAAGAGGAATGCAAATGATGACAAAAAATTACTTTCATTAAGTAATCAAGCGCAATTCTTATTAATAAATAAAGCAACTGTTCGGTGGCTGAATGATAAAATACAAGAGTCATTATTCACAGACGACATTGACCAGTTAATAGATCGTTTTAGAGGAAATATAATCATAACCATGGACGAAGAATTAGTAGAAAGACATTGGCAGAGAGTGATAATTGGGAGACATGAATTCAAGGTAGGAGTAATTTATATATTTAAAATTAGTGGTTGAGTTTAATCTTCATTAATTCTTATGAGATCCAAACTCATTTCTTCATTTTTATTAAATTTTTTCTGTGTTAGGGTATTAAAAACATTTTCAGATAGTAACATTCATAGTCATCCTCTTACAGTTTTTCATTATCCAATATAACATAGATCTTACGAATAGATTGCTATTATTATGGTATATATACTATACTAGTTGTTTTAAAATTCTGATAATTGATAAAATTTATTTATTATAATAATCTAATATAAAATAATAAAAAAAACTACAGGTTGATGGAGAATGTCGGCGATGTCAAATGGTATGCATAGATCAGCAAACTGGAGAGAAGACAGTCGAACCACTTCGAACTATTTCAGAACAGTTTGCAGGAAAATTATGTTTTGGAATATACTTAAGCTACATTGGCACTGTAGATGGGTCGACGGACCGTATAATGAAGATAAATACGCCTATCAAGCCTATAATTAATGATGATGATATAAGCAGGTGAACCAAAACGTGTTATCTTAATAAACAACCAGTTCCTACATTAAGAAATCCTCATACTGTTACATTATTGTAACGTTAGATCATCACTATTATTGGACTTAACACCTAAAGGCATTTTCTACCAGTCAACCATAATGCAGAGATAAGTTGTTGGCGGTGCAAACAATAATATATTATTTTATAGAATATACAAGAATAAATATATATATATACACATGTAACTACATAAATACACAACTTTCTAAAATACACACATAAATATATGCAATGACGAAATGTATTTTTCAAAACAACTTTCTAAAATACACTTGCACGAAATGTATTTTAGAATACATTAATGTTTTGTTGTCTAATGATCTGTAATCTATATATAATAACTACAAGTCAATGTATATTCAAGTACATTATTCTGATCTGTATTGTCTTTTTTTACTTAACCAATGATTTATTTCGAATTTAACATTAGATATAAATTAAGGCCTAATTATAAAGTAGTGCAAATGTAATGCCCCGTCCAACGAATACTTATTTACGTATATATAAAAATGTTTTTATTTCAATACTTAAGATTAAAAAAGAATCGAAAATGCGGTTTCTGTCCTTTTTCGTAGTAATAATACTCGCCCAACCATGTTTAAGGGAAATTTTAATTACTCACCTAATGCAGGGCGATTTGACCTAGGGCGACTGCTTTTCGATTTTTTTTAATGATTGTTGAGAAAAAGTCGGCTATGCAATGTTACCCCAGTATGGAGTCATGGGGATTTGTCATGAATTTAACCAATTCAGTTAGTAAATTAACACAATGCATTACACCGCATGTATGAAGACATTAGTGATCAAGTTTGTAGAGATAGTAGCACTTTATAATGATATCTTTAGTATAAATAAATATGTGAAGTAATGATTATCATGAGGAGGAACATATCTCTGAATTCAGAGATCCTTAATAGTATATTATTATTATATGAGGACATTATACTGACTAAATCTATCTTTTCGATGTAAATCTATTTTTGCTTACTACTTTAACATATTACGTTTTTGTATCCATTGATTTTAATAATAACTTTCATAATTGATAGCGTTTTCATAATTGTTGGTCCCGTATAAATAGATAACAGAGTTGGTATTCAACTTCTGTAATAATGTGGTATAAAATTTAGTCTATATATGCATTAATCCAATAAATAAAAAAGCTATTTAATCTCTATGAACATTAAATAATATTTTTTGTAGATTTTATAATGTATTGTATAAAATTATTTTTGTAGATTTTATAATGTAATTAGATGAATTTATTTTGTGCTTCGCTGCAGGCACTGTATTTATTAAAAACATAGTTATTGATTAGCCTAGTTGGCTTTAAGACATTTTTATTTTTTATTTACAGGTTCAAGGATTGGTTTTATTTATACTTTTTAGGCAACTGTGTTTGCCCTTCTGAAATGTCTTCCAATAAGCAAAATAATTATTTAATGACTAACTAGACTAGACTAGGAAAATGATTTTTAATGACTAACCTTTATATACTGTTTTAATTCTGTTACAACATGTAACAGAATTAAAACAGTAGTGTAGTAAAAAAATACAAATTGTTAGACCAAAATTGCCTTATATCTATGGGACTATCCATAAAATACATCACATGTTAGAGGAAGGATAATATTGTATAAAAGAGGTTGAAGGAGTCACATAGTCACTCCTACCCTCCTGGAAGCAGTGTCAGATTTTGTGACAGCATTTAAATTTTAGTATAAAAATATTAAATGTTAACTATTTTAGTTTATAACTTTTTAAATGTGTTATATGACGTAATTTAAAGGTGGCCCCCTAATTGAAGTGTGGTACTAAATTTACAAATTTATTATAATGTGACATTTTATGATTACACTATTCTATAGAAGAGATATTTAAAATATTATCAGTGAATGTGATTTTTTCCTTATGTTAAACCAGTATATTTATGTAAAATATAGCATTATAATATAACCAGCCAGAAATGATATGATAGTGATAATAGCGAAATTTAGCAAATATTATTACTATGATGATATTTATACAAAACTGTAACTGAAAATAAAATATTTATAAAAATTGTTATAATATTTATTAGTCTTAACACTACACAAAATATTTTATTTTATTGTTATTAAAATATTAATTTAAAACTAGTTATCACCTTGGTTGTTACAGTATAAAAGAAATATTAAATTATTGCACAGTTTATTGGCTGTTGTCCTTTTATTTCCCTTGGTTCGCTTCCATGAGATACATCATTCACAACCTGCGCTACTTCTTCATAGTCTGGTATGGCCATTGTCTGTATTTTGGAATATATCAGTTTATCATTTATTGTTATCTCAAAAGATCCTGTAAAAGTAATTCATTTTTATTATAAAACATTTTCTATTTTATAATTAAACCTACTTTTTATAGTTTGCTACATTAATAGTATTGAATCAAATTTAGGCTGATTACAAGCACATAATGTGAGACATTTGTAAATTATATTATTGCAATATAATTAGGAGCAACACTAGTACTTTGATAATCTTTGGGTTATATTGGCTGAGCCCTACCCTGAATGCGATAGTTAAGTAACGTTACTAGTAAAGTTTGATAGTTTAGCTCCCGGATAAAGTTTTTAAATTAAAAAAACCACTCATACCCTGCCTACCACGCTTACAAAGGACTATAGCATTAGGAGTGCTTTCTCGAATAGTTTTTGCCAGTGCCACACAATGACCCCCGTAATCACAGACTCCACTGAAATATTTAAAAAATTATGCACTTTTAACTTAAATGTAATTGTATTACATAAATCAAGAAACATGTTACTGAAAATTATATAAAATAAATAGTACCAATATTCAACATTTACTGTAATCACATTTTTATCGGGATCACTGACCGACATATTTTAATATATTTAATACGATGTTTATTATTAAGTAAGTCAACCCATCCGACTTTATAGCACCTATATCCGATTACTTAAACAATATTTATAGAAGAGATTTTTTAAATTAATTAATTTTAAAAGACTATGTTTACTTTTCCTCAGCTGATATCTATCAAATTCAAAATAGTGGATTGTTTAAAATTTGCCTTACAGCACAGGAATAGATATCAAATTGAATTGATAATTGTTATTCAGAATACAGTTAGAATAGCAGAGTGACAAACATAGAGTACTTTTGTTGACATCTGCGGATGACGTATGACAAACATAACAGTTATGTTACACCTGTGGCTATAACTGGCTATATTTTTATTACCTTATGATTTTTTTATTAGTATTGATTTTCAAATTGCTAAAGGTTATTTGTTTTAGTAGGTAGTAGAGTGTTACTGTGTTAGTTATAAATAGAGACCATACCTATAAACTCTTTATACTTTAAGTAAATAATTTTACAAATGTATTAAAAAGCATTCTGTGTAATATCCCTTTTTACAATGGATTACGATTATCTCATAAAACTTTTATGCGTTGGTGATTCCGGAGTAGGAAAAACTAGTTTTCTCTATAAGTACACGGATGGCGTTTTCCATACACAGTTTATTTCTACTGTGGGAATCGATTTTCGAGAAAAAACCGTGGTAAGAGCTTTTATGCAATGTATACATAAAATACTAATATTACATTCACATAGACACAATAAACAAATATATACTAACATTATTTTGAATTCCCTATTTATTTTTATGATTCACGTTTTTAGATCTATCAACAAAACGGACGACAACATCGAATACATTTGCAATTGTGGGATACAGCAGGACAAGAACGGTATGGATTGTATTCTTATCTGTGTAATTTAAAATAATTTAAAATAAAATGATTTTTTTACTGTATGTTTTGTAATTATTTTGTTTTTCTTATAATAAACTTTGTCATTGCAGATTCCGAAGTTTAACAACAGCATTTTATAGAGATGCAATGGGGTTCCTTTTACTTTTTGATCTCACTAATGAAGCATCATTTCTTGAAGTTAGAAATTGGATTGAACAGCTTAAGGTAAGATGAATGAAGAATTAATAATCTGATTTATATGAAATTGAAGTTTATTATATTTTTAGTTTTGGGACTACAATAGAAAACATTGATCAAAACAATATAGATGTGTATAATTGTGAATATTATTTGGCATTATTTATTAATCAACTAGCTGCTGCCCTTGATTTGTAAGGGTGCAGAAGTATTATACACATGAACATTCTTCAGAAGAAATTACCAAAATTTTGTTATCATATAAATAGGAGTATCTATCTTGATTATAGTGATAAATAGTTTTATTAATTCTTTAAGTGAGTATTATTTCACTTTTGTCAACTTAACGACTCAACCAATGCTCATATGTATAACAATTAGTTGAGTTTGTAAGTTGAATATTTATGACTTATATTTGGCACAGAGAAGAACACAATCAACTTATTATCCAGATTGAATCTATTAATCAAGCAATAATAATCACTGAGGATAAAGGCTGTGTATTATAATTTATGAAAATTTTATTTCGATATTATAATAAATTTATTTATTTATTTTTTTGTTTTTGTAATATGTCTTAATTCATGAACAAGTATATGTAGTAAACAGTAATTTTATTTTTCAATTTTCCAGACTCACAGTTTAAGTGATGATCCTGATATAGTTCTGTGTGGCCATAAATGCGATCTGCAGGAAAAGCGACTTGTAAATCAGAATAGAGCAAGGGAGTTCGCCAAGAATTACAATTTGCCTTACTTGGAGACAAGTGCCAAAAGTGGACAAAACATAGACCGTGCTATAGAAATACTGCTTGACAAAGTTATGTACAGGTATGTAAAAAAGTATTATAATGGAAAATTCAATTCTTATCTATTTGAATTACTTTATAGAGCAGATTGTGGAAAATTAATTATAGGGGTTCAGTGTAATTCTATTTATTTACTAAATGTGCCAATTACTAATTGATCCTTTATACATATAAATAAAATTGAAGTATCTATTTGTAAAATTGAAATAACCATTTTTTTACAACATGCATATGTATATAAATGCAGAGTATACACCAAACTAATATTTTTTACAATTTTTGTCTGTCTGTCTGTCTGTCTGTGTGTACCGGCTAATCTCTGAAATGACTGGGCCGATTTTGATGGGACTTTTTTGGCAGATGGCTGATGTAATAAGGAGTAACTTAAGCTACTTTTATTTTAGAAAAGTTCATGTGGATGAATTCGCGTGGAACAGCTAGTAGTATATAAGGTTACTAAAATAATGAGGAGAAATGTTATTTAAAGCAATTTTATTACTTTTGCCTTAGACAGTTCTTGCCATACCATGTACATATTATTTCTAAATTCTAATTTAATACAACTAATCTCTGTATGAAAGTAAACTAGAATTTCTGTTGTTTATTATTATTAATCTCATTCATAACTAGAAAATCGAATGTTTTACAGAATGGAGACCTCGGTGGAGTATGCAATGCTTTGTGCGTCAGGACGTCGCAGGCAATCATTACAAAAACTGCAGGCGAAACAAGATAGAAAAATTTGCACTTGCTAGTATTTCGATATATCTGTGATTTTATATTTCCTAATATTCTATTGTTTGTGTATCTGATCTCAGCATAGATTTTCTATAATTATAAATTAAGAGAAAAGTCTATTTCACAGTTTCTTGATAAACACTTACATTTTATCTATTAATGTGTGTGTTCTAGTTTTTTAGCATTAGAAGTTATACTTGAACATATTGTATTTTCTTTCTATTCATACAGGCGAAAATATTACTGAGCAGCTAATGTATGAATAATGTGCATTTAAAAATTCCTATATTATTCCTACTAATTTTATTTAAAATAAATTATTTATATATAACGGTAATAGACAAATTGGTCACTCGAGTAGCTGTCAAGAAATATCAACCTTCATGATCTGTTCTACTAATTGACTTTTTGTTGAAATCTATCATATCATGGTAGTTTTCACACAATTATAATTTTTAATATATGTGTACGTAAATATACTTATGTATCCCTATAGTAAACGTAATTAATGTTAATGAATATCTCTACACTATTTATTCGTTTTATGCACCATGAAAACATGCCTGATTGGTTTATACTCATCATGACATTAGAGGAATAGTAAAAGGAGGTACAAATGATTTGATCAGAAAGCTGTGAAGCAGGCTCTAGCATATAATTTTAATGTATATGAAATTTGGAACCAAATTTACCCATGCAGGGGGATACATTAAGAGACTGATTTATATTTTCATTGTAAATTGAGGCTTTTATTTTTCCATTACTTGTATTTAATTGTTGAAAATTTTTAATACCTAGGTGTTTTGACTAAAGATACTTAAAGTATAACAATACTTTACTATGATACTGATACAAATAGGTATCTCAGACATGATACTAATGCTAGTAGTTTATTTTTTGTGAAATGGAAAAAGGTAAAGTAATTATACTGTAGTAGATGTCGACTAGATTGTTGGGTCATGCAGTAACAAACAGAAGGCGCACTAGCGTTTGATTGTTTCGTATGATTTCAAAACAGGACAACCTTGTAAAATACCTTCCATTGTAGCATTAATTCGAATATTTGAAAGTGTATTTTAATTTTTGTCAATGCCGTAATGATTCTAAATTTAAATTTAAACAATGCAATAATATTGCAAAATAAAATTTCTAGTCACATTTGCGATGATTCGTTCATAATTAATTTAATTCGCTACTTTTTAAAAATTTTATGATATTACAGTTTAGTCTGATTGTTGTATTTAACAAAACCGTTGCATTTTAAAATGATCTAGTCAATTGAATATTCATTCATTCATTATTGAATCGACAATTCAATAATAGTCATACGATAGAACGAAAAAAATACTCTAAGGTTAGTTAAATTATATTGTTTTATGAGGAAAATAAAACAATATAATTTATCTGACCTTAGAGTATTTTAATTGTTTTATTTTACTGTCACTTGTAGTATACAAGTAAGTAAAATAATACTTTAACATACAATTGTACTTCCATGTACAAATGAATCATAGATATGTAACGAGTGCGGAGTATTTTTCCTCTTCTGTTGTTTTTCTGATAAAATATCTATTATGATAAAAAATAGCTGTTTCTTACGTAAAGTACAGGGTTCTAATTGTAGTCAAGTTCTAGTTATGTGATGTAGAGTAGTTTATTTTGGAATTTTGCTAGTTATTTTATATTATGTACTGAAAACTAATTTATTATTACCCCAATAGTTATACGTAAATTGTAAACCATTCTATTTTTATGTAAGTTTACAAATTAGCATCGGAGAAGTAAAGTAAAGTTTGACTGTTCGCTACCTTTTGGCGCATTACTGGTTAAAACTATTCATACAATTGACATTAAATTTGTCATTCAAGTAGTATATGGGATAGAAACGCATATGAGTTACTTTTTATTTCGGTTTATCATGTTATCTTCTTAACAAGTGCGATTGCACAGATGAAAAGATATTTATAAAGAAGTTTAAATGCTTCAATAATATTAAAACTTTGCTTTTTATATATTGTAATTTAATTAATGTAAAATAAAATAATTGTCAAAAATATTAATTTAAAAAAAATAAGTACTGTACTATATTGTAAAGTGTGGATAATTGCATATTAAACTTAAATCTTACTTCTTGAGAGTGAAAAAGCAAAGGTGTAATATGGGCTACAAATGTGTTATGAATCACCACATATATTTTATATGTTAGGAAATTTACAAACGAACAAAAAAAGAAAAACGGTTTCTACCACATATTTTGTTACATACGGTGACAAAACATGTGTAAATAACCTTTTTTTAAATTCTAGATTATATTTTATAAAACCAGCTGAAACAAGTTGTTTATAAAATTAATTATCGCGAGCTATATTTTATTTGCACGTGTGTGTTTTGCTAAGCACAAAGATTTCTAATTATTGTTACATTACATTAAGTGTGTAGTATTGTTTGGAATAGGTAAACATGAATATTTAATATGTTACAAATTATTTACCTGCTATTCTGGATATAAATTGCTTAATACATTAAGTGATTTATATTAATAATATGTTGATTGTTAAGCAAAATGAGCAAGTTGGTCTAAGGAGTACATGAAAAGTTAAGCTGCTACCTATAGTATCAATAAAACCCTATGTACTTTATTTACTACATGTATTTATATACAGTCTTTAAAAATGTTTAAACGTTTTCTTTAATTGGATAACATAAAATAAGTATATCAATTTATATGGTAGTTAGAAATATACTCTTATTTTCTACCTAGCCATCAACCTAAAACAACAATATGCATATTAGCTTATTTAAATTATGTCTACTTATTCAATGTGTTTATAAATATTATAAATTTCGTAAAATAAAATTGAAGTTCTAGTCAAATATACTAAAATTTATAACTGATTTATCTGCGTATTGTATTATTAATATACTAAATATTTTATATAGTTATTACAGAAAACTGTTGAAATTAAATATATGATCACATAACGTTAAGTCAACTCTAAGGATACAAATAATTTCCATTTATTATCAAATAAAAAGAAACCCTAATAGTAAAGTAAGAACGCAGGCACAATTTAATATTAAAATCTAACATTGTTTTTAACATTACAAATTATTAATAGTACAAAATAACTTTTTTTACTTATATTTAAATTACTTTTACTCTTTCTTTTAATTGTCATGGTTGTTAGTATGTTCTACATATATATGTTTCATATAAATTACACTTCGTACATATTTAAATTTCTTTTGATAGTATTAAAAATATCTTTCTAAGAATAAATATACAATCCGTGTACATTGCTCAATTTTGGTATTAGAGTACTTGTTAAGTACCTAACTACATGGTCAGTATGTACTACTAAGTGTCCTTTTTTTAAACATAAATAAGAATTTTAAACATGCGAACTTACTATTATCTCAGACGGACAGAATTTTTACATATTTTTGTTATAATTTTAAAGAATATAATGAAACCATTTCATATCATTAAGTGCCCTTTGATTTACCGTATACCTGTTTATATAGTTTGAAAGAAATATAGCCAGATTTTATACATAAGACTTATTGCTTAGATCAATTGTTGTAAAATAATTTGTACTCAAATTATGTATTGCTATTTTATACATATACCCTGTTTTTGGGGAACTATGCTCAAAACTGTCACTTCGGACTGGTGTGCCCTTTTAGTTCTAAATACTTTTAAATATTTGAAATTCTTAAGATTTCATAAATATTAATATACAAAAAGAATCCGATTTTTTTACGGTTTAAATCTCTGTATCACAGTGCAATTAACAATGGCATCTCTCTTATAAGAACCGAACTAAAATTGAATATATGCAACAAAGTAATGCACAGTTTTACTCAAAATTATATATTATTAATAAATTGGTTGAGGCATGCTGAATATGCACACAAAATATTGTAAATGGATCTATATGTCAAATATGCTGATTAAAAATTATATATTTTTTTAATCCTAGTGACTCGAAGCTTGCTCTGTATGTATAATTACAAAATTTTCATAAGTATTTCATGCCACCATCACCATATGGTGTAAAACCACGGCTATCGGTCATTAGGGCTGCAGAGTTACGATCTCCCTAGTGCCTATCGTGATAGAAATGCTCCAACCCAAAGGTGGTCTATCTATATAGAATTTAAAACATTAAAATATTTACTATATTTTATTTGAGGCCATTTTGTGCAATATAGCAAAATAACTATATTGGATGGAATACGCCAGACATATATTATATATTATTGCTTTCCTATGTAATATATCTAAGTCTATTGTAAGTTAATAAGAATTACAAATTTTGTGATAATTTGGCTTAAAATAAAATATTTATAAAGGTAATACCTAATCTATTTAAAGTGTAGACATTTAAAATTTATCCTTGACCAAACTGCCATTTATATCTAAAGTGTGTCAATTTGTGAACAATTATATACTTATGTAAAAGTTTCCTGTGCATTAAAGTGGAGTTATATGAATTAAAATTGTTTATATTATTTACATTTCTATAACTTTTAATTTCGTTTTAATTACAATCCGTATTACATTTTCTATTTTATTATTTCATTGAATTAGTGCTAATCGGTGGTTTGTATTCACACACTTAAACTTAAATTGTAAGTAAGAATAAATTATATAAAAGAGCAACACACAAGTTTCTTGCTTGTTCTTCTTGTGATGAGACAGCCGTACATACCGAGACATACCGAATGAGCGGTAGATTAAAAAAAATATGACTATTCAAAAGTGGTTTAATGTAAGTTTATTTGAATAAATGATTTTCTATTCTATTCTATGCTATTAATTTACTTCGGTTTCCTCGTTGAACAGTGAAGAACACATTCAATTCATTAGTTTTACTTTTAAAATCATACATGTACTGATAATTTATGTTCATATCAAGCTTAAGTGTGCCTCTTGGGAATACTTACAATAAATGCAGCAACATTTTTTTATACCACTGAAATGACATAAAAATCTCATAATAATAACGAATATGTCATTATTCGAGAATGCCTGTTACAGTTGGAAATTCTTATGCGACTTCTCTATAAATATAGGAATGCAGAAATTCTAGAGTAGTAGCAACAGCTGTACCTATGTAGTTTTTTTTTATTTATTTAAAATATCTGTTATATAGCAAAGGTAATATTTCCGTCTCATCTTCTACCCCCACAAACTGTTATTTTTGCTGTATTAAGGGTGAGATATAGTAATTTCATTACTGGAATCACATCTCAATTCTTAGAAATGGCAACTTATATGTGACACGGGCATCTTATTATATTTTGTGACGACCATAGAGGTGTTTCTATTTAGAGGAGACATAACAGTGCTCCAGTTGTCAAAATGTTAAGAGTATTTGTAGTAATAGTATACTACCTGAGATCACGACATCTTACAGTTGTTATTCAGAATAATAATAAACAAGAATAACAATACTGTTTGCAAATCGATTACAATTAAACAATCTGTAATTTATAAGTGAAGTTTATTACTATACGTCGTTATATATATTAATATAGACCTACATTAGTAAAAACCGCACTTAAATCGGCTAAATTATTTCCGAAATTAACGTGGAAAGGCACAAATAAACTGACAGAAATTCTAACAACTGTTTTTCTGAAGTTTAACAAAGTCCGCCGATAATAATTTTCACACATTTCAGTTATATTTTTATTATACGTATGTACGAACTATGGAGGTACCTATATTAATATGTGCATATATCTATCCTTGTTTACCGATGTAGGTACATTTTGTAGAGATTTTCTATATTATTCCAGACTAGTATCACATGAATGCTATTGACATTTATCAACTGGAACTGAAATGCGAAATAGGCAGGTATGTAGTTCAAATAGCAGCCACGATCAGAATATCTAAGCTTCCGTAGAGGATTATTCTCAACATATCTCACTACCAAACGCATAGTTGAAGCTAAATGAGGAATTAAACAATAGATTTGTGGATTCTATTGTACTGTATATATTCTACTAACGTTTGAGTTTAGATAAATAACAGTACTGGAAAACTTAAAAGTGATCTCTGTAATGCAAAAAATTTTTGGTCACATTAAAATGTTAATGACATTAGTTACTCATATAAATCAACTCGCTAATCACCTAATGACTAATATCACATATTTTCTTTCATATGAATAGGTACTTCGGACGGTTTCCAAAAATTATTGACTCCGACACGTTTTTATACAATATTTTTACTTAGGTGTTTTGAATGTAAATTAAGAATTTTATTCAGGGTATGTTGCTATATAACTATAGATATTATTATTCTGTCAACCCCGTCGATGGCCTGGCGCGAAGTCAGATATACAGTCTTTTACGTTCCCATAATTATAAACTATGTATAAACGCTGAAAGTTTGTTTTTTGTTTTACATTCTTGGTACATACATATTTTATGGGAGGAATTTGCTACACATGAATATATTAGTTCCATGTAGCCTGGTCGTTCTGTAATGCGCAATGCTCATTGGATAATAAATGAGGATAGCTAAATGAGTTTGCGTGTGGTTTTCGGGCATAATATTGTAAATTTGTTTAATAACATTTTTCGAAAAATAACTAGTATATCTTATAAATATAAAAATTTTATACAATTCGTTTACAATATAGATAGAGTACGGATGCATACAAGCATACTTTGTGACCAAATAAATTAGTAATTTATAGTTTCTGTCGCGTACTAGATAAAAACTATAGGTAGATAGACAATGAATATTTAATACAAGTCCCGGTATTTTGATAGTTATATATACTTATATTCTGTTATATTTGTATTGTATCTCATCTACTTAGCGTATATGACAGAACTAACTAGGTTCTACATTTTTGCGTATCCGTCAGGTGGGATTTGGCCTTCAGCCACTCCATAAGTCCTTCCGCGGGTTTGGAGTGCCATCTGCACTCGCCCCCTATCGTCCGGTGAAGCTGTAATGGCCAGCTGCGGCCAACAGCATTAGAGTAGTCCGAAAAAAATCTACATCTTTTTTGTGCAAATAGCTGTTGTTTGCAGATGTTGTCTTTAAGAAAATTTGCGCTTGGTGCTAATGATTAATTATTAAAGAATATAATGAAATAATTAATTATGTTCGTTAATTAGCTATTTATAAATATAATAAGTTGGTATTAATTGGGAGATATTAGTTGTTACCAGCTCATCGAAACTATATTTCTCCTACGTACCTACTAGCAATACTGCTAGTACAAGTAGGTAGACTTGATATTCTCGGGAAGTACGCAGCTACCGGTAAATTAATTATTTATTTATTAAAATGATGTGTGAAATGTGATCTTAAATTGCTGGTGCAGACAATTACCAGTTTTTTTATGGATTGCTATTTATTAATAGTAATTTTTTTACACAATTAAAATAAATGTGTAAATATATCTTTTAATAAAAAAAAATCGAATACCAACTAATATTAATAGGTGCAATGGGGTATTAGAAACTAGATACGAGGGGTGAGTTCACAAACTCTGCATTCCCTCTGCCCCCTCTTTACACGTGATGTGCACGGGTGCAGTATTTTTGTGTTCATTCAATCTGTTTTAGACTCAAATGCTTAGAAATAAAGTTGTAAGTTCCTTCATATGGTACTGTTAAGTGAGATTAGGGTTCGGACATCCTTTCCAGATGGACTCTGTTGTCGGGAAGTAGTGTCTAAATTGGCCCAATCCGACAGTCGCATCGTTAAACCCCACGGCGCAGTCGCGGAAGCTACATAGATACGTCACACTGGTGTTAATCTTGGGCCTACAAAGCTTCGCTCTTGTATCGCTTTAAAAGCAGGCTATAAAATTCATAATTCTGAATTCATATACAAATAAATGTACCAATTATAACTACTGTGACAAAATATTAAATATTCACAGTCTTAATATATTAAGATAGGTACGTAGTAATATAAAATTTACATTCGTAAGCGATATTCATGCGATATTATGAAGATCGCTGTGGAGTCGTAGCAGCAACCGTACGTGGCTATCTTCATCCCAATTGCCAGTTTGTTTATGTATTGAAAGACAACAGATTGGTGCAGCCGGCTTCTGCGGGCTCCGTAATTGAAGCTCGCGTGTTTTTCAGTAAGACGGTCGGCTTGAATGAAGCAACAAAACTGCTTTGATCCCAACGTGCTTGTTGTTATCTAGATAGGCGTGTGAACGAACGGGCGGTCGATTTGTCTGGTGCAAGTGCAGTGTTGACGTTTCGTGTTATCATAGACTGATTATAAGCAGTGACAATAAACTACTGAGGATTCTCATTCAGGAATAGTGACAATGCTGGTAAGCATAAATACAAAGGTTTTATATTTCATATCATGATTCAGATTTATGCCCGGAAAAGTATTCTATACCTTACGTCTTAAAATTGACCTTCCTATTGGCTAACTGAGGCCATACTGCAACAATTAAATAATTACTGGTACACAAGTATAGGTCAATAATTAATTTTATAACCGTTAATTTTAGAAGAAATATCATATGAAGTCTACTATATCCTTATATTTATTATTGTTCATTATTATTTAAGTAATTTAAATATTTTGGTGGTATTTTAAGCACTTTATTAATAAGTCAAGAAAGAATATTCTCATTTTACTATTATTAGGATATGGATAGATATAAAATAAACACTATAATGACATATCTCTCTATGAAGGAAGTGGGTTTAATTATTAATTTTAGTGTAAATAATTATTTACATAAATATATTTCCCTCATTCGCTTATTATTGCACTTTGATTACTATGATAACTGTTTATGTATCTTTAAAAGTAGGTACCTATCTACGTTTGTGGTTGAGAAGACAATATTTCGACTAGAAAAAGAAATAAGTACCTAAAGAACAAAGTCATGTAAAAGAAAACAATTGTTGTCAATTTCGTCATCCGTTAAATACCGGGGTGGGAAGCTTGTATCTCTCAGTATAGTATAGTTGCTCTACTCATATATCCGCACATATCTACCATTAAATACGAGTATACGATAATTGTTGCCAGGATACTGTGTCCCCTATATTTGTGAAACGAAATTGGTACTCGCAAATATTAGTACGTTGCAATGGTTAATAGTGTAAGTGTTCAGTTCTGTTACCCCAATTTATTTTAATTAATCTTAATTATTCGCTAATTTCCAGAGCTGTTTAAGTATGTAAGCCATTGTCATGCACCCACACCAGAACAATTAACTAGTATATTAAACTCGATTTGTAAACTACACTTAGCTAAGATAAATAAGAGCATTTTACGTAGTAAAAGTGATTTTATATGATCTTTGTATAACGAACTAAGAATTAAAAGAATATGCGACACAAGAAACGATTAAATGCTATTGACTATTAATGATATTCCATAAGCTCTATTTTATTATAGAATGTCAAGAATTTAAATACTTACATATATATATTAAAAAAATTGTTGATTTTAAAGGTATGCCTATAAAATTCATCTACATCGCAAAATTTCAACGTTATTTTATCTACTGGCTCTAATTAATTAATTTAATATAATGACGGAATAAGATGCTGTACCAATATTTGCTATTGCTGTTAAATTTCAGAATTAAATAATAGATTAGGCGTGCCAATCTAAGAAGTCCCTACTAAAATTTATTTCTTGATTACTAGTATTGCGTTATTATAAAATACGAATTCATAGACATCATTTCGAATAAAAGTGTTTAATGAAACATAATTTATCTTATATGAGATGATAGCACGTTTATGTTACATTTAATTATATTTTATTATATTTTATACCCCACATTATAGTGGGGTTAAAAGCAACAGCAATTTTGTTTGTCTAATTCTCCTTTAGTCATGAGGAGAGTATTAAACATAATCCTATGTTGTAATTGCACCGTAAAGTCAAAGTCAAAATAATTTATTTGAATAAGATATTTTGTTTGTCACATATGCAAAATTTCTTATGACTAACCCTACCGAACAATTCGGATAACTTCAATCGAAAAGAACTGGCTAGAAACTCAACTGGTACTTTTTTTGCATACAGTGCATTAAAATTAATTACTTTATTTAAGTTGTTAGGTAGGTACTTAAATATAAGCAGACAAGTACGAATACGCCTACATAATAAAATCAATTCTTGCGCCTATGAATGGGAAGAAAACTTCGAGGCTGTTCACGCTCAAATTATTGATGAGGGCTGAGTAACTTTACTCTTTGGTTAACATCCCACAATCAATCTTTCGCAAACGGGCTTCAAACGTGCCAAATAGCACAAGCATGTGTTCGAACTCACTGCAAATATGTTGCCACTTTTGTTACCCATGGTATGTACGAGTACATTTTGTACAAAATTTAATCACAAAATATCTTACTTTTTATTATTATAGGCACTAATGATAAGTGAAATCTCTTATTGAGGTTACTTTGCTTTCGATTATGATTTAAAAATAGAACTTAGGTAAAATAATAGAAAAAATAATATTAAACATGTTTTTTATTCCGGGATGCGAAAAACTGTCGGGTCTCCAGTATATTTTATATAAGCTTCGCCCCGGCTTCGCACGAGTGTACATGTATTATGCACATAAATCTTCCTCTTGAATCACTCTAACTATTAAAAAAAATCGCTTCAAAAATCACAGCGAATTTGTTTTATACTATGTATTGATTAATAGCATTAGTTCCTGTATTGAATGGTTTTTAATCTTTATGTGCTTTTTAACCAATAAATGGTCTAAGGAATTATTGCATAAAAATATATTGCATAGAAGTCCTTAAAAAAAGAAGGCATTATCTAATTTAAAATTTAGTAAATAACGGATAGCAATATACTTAAGTGAAAAACACAGTTATTACCAGATCCTTGATAATGTTGTAAAATTTGTGGATTAATACGAGTACCTATACCTACTTAATACATGAAATTTGTTCATCTGTATGTATTTGAAGTTCTACAGACTGCTAACTATCATTAGATTAACATAATAAAATCCTAACTACAGTGATTGATTTATTAGGTATTCGATAGATTAAGTCCCATTAATTTTGGTAGCTCAATAGTTACTTTTATACCCTTTTTATGAAGCATATTCGAATAGTGTTTCCGTCTCCACTAACGGTATATTTTAGTGGGATATCATCAGTGAAAGACGAAAGGATGAGTATGAATTCAGTCAGTTAGTCTATTCCTATGAAATCACCTGGAATTCACCACGATTGTTTTCAGGAAACAGCGGGAGCACTAGTTCCCTATTACCTACTAACAAACTGCAGGCGCGAGCAACATTCATTTGTCATCAGAAAAAAAACGTCCTCTCGACACATTTCTACCAAATTATCTCAGATAGTCACACATTTTTGAAGATCTGTAAAGTTGTTGTAAAAGTTGTGACTAAAAACTATCTATTTACTTACAAATTATTATTATCACGGAACTCTTAATGCACAGCATAGCTTGAACTTGACCGATTTCTTTTTATTTACATTATTTGATACGTAAATGGAAGTACGTACAACCAGTACAACATTACAAAGATAGCATCTCCTTGTTATTTTATAATCATCTACATAAATACTGTTCATTTTGTATGTTATGGTTTTATTTCATCAAGATATATATATATCGAATATCTGAATAACGAAACTGTTTCTTGTTCGCGGTTTCTTTGAGTATTATTCAACACCTGTTATTCTTTTATCACTGTTTTTTAGGGTTCATCACAATTGAGTGTTGGAAAGGACATTATAAAATTATACTTTATGTTTTATTTTCACTAAACTTTAGAGTAGTCAATAATATAGATGATTACGGAGTCCACATAAAGACATTTGAAGATTCAAAAGTTTAGTTTAGTTTTAATCACATACATACAAGAGAACGTCTATAATAAGTACAGAAAAAAATTAATAATTCGAAAAATACATAATTTTTCATATATGTATAGGGATTTTCATATTCGCTATTCAGATGTATTCTTTTAAACTTCTACTTGGTTATTCATTTAACTAGTAGGGTGCAAGTTAATTAATAGGTTATAACTATAGGAATGTTCGGTATTTATTCAATATTATTATATTTAAATTCGAGTTCGTTAAAAAGTCCTATATAAAAAGTGAACAAATCTTTGAATACTGATTCAGTGAATTTTCCAAGCGTGTTTGTGTCCTTTATGGTATAAAGATGGGATAAGAATCGAATTATGTAAATTTAATCCTTAAAAGGGTGAAAAAAGTATTTTTATTCCAATTCCCTTGAGTTATAAACATGAAATTTTGAATAGAATTGTGTGCAACCGAGTTTTAGTGGATTTATATTAAATATAGAACCAACCTAAACAAATTCGCATGTTTCCCGGCTTTCTCATTGATTTGAATAAACAATTTACATTAAAAAATAGGGTAAGGTCACTACTTCCTCACCGAAGATGTGATGACTAAAGCTTTTTTTATGTTATAGTAACATGTGTAGGTGTTATGCAAGGGTATTAATTGATTTATAATCGATTGGAGGGGAACAAGAAGTACTTATATCAACATATTATATTTTACTGCATATGTGGAATTTTCTAGTTTAGTACTTACGTCAAAGTTACGTAGGTTTATTCTGAGGTATTTATCTAATATCGTCAAAGACTAAAAATGGTGAAGATTGATATTTATGCAATGTAATGAGAGATTCATCAAAAACTACGTTTATCCTGAAAATATTGTATCAAATCGAAGTATGTTTCTTAAATACATAAAAAATCGTACCTGCTGTGTTTTTATGTGATATAAAAACTTTTCGACCTTGGCGGTATTGTTGTAATACATATATATACTTTCTGATGGTTGTTAGTTCAATCTCTGTACATTGCTATATTTCGTATTCATAAGTATCAATCTTTTAATATAGATCTATATGTTCTGCGTCTATAGCACCAGCTCTGCTTATTTTCTGCGTATTTAATTTATTGAAGGCTATCTAATAATTTATTTTTAAAGTTATAAAATACAATTAATGATTCAAAAACATATTATATATTTTTTAAATCATGACTTTCAGAGATATGAGTACACTACTAAATCGTTTTTAGGATACATTTTATCTATGCTTTCTACATGCTCAATATAATAACAATAACAATATTCATACAATGTTAAACGTTTTCTTATCGCAAACCAAAAGAGTTTTGTTTCGGGTAGGTATATTTGCGTACAAAATTCAGGTTCTAACTAATACTACATATTAGGTACTTTGAATCACGGCCAAACGAAATCATTTGAAATTGAAATTTGCGAAGAGATCACGATAAATGGGGACGATGCGACGGCTTTA